CTTTTGTTTGTCCTTACCACTTCACCCATATGGCCTTGAGGTCATCCAGCCATTTGTATCTGACTTTGCACGTGTGACTGTCGCACGTTGGAGCCTGTTTGCTCCCTTGCTTTGCACTTTTGAAGTCCAAGCGGACTGTTTGTTTTGGACGCGTATCTACTGTCGAGGTTTGTACAAATTGTGAATTTCTCTTACTCTAATAGTACCGTATAGAAACCCAGCTCCGACTTTGCTTTGCCTATCCGGAGGTTCTGGTATTACGCGTCACTCGAAGATACCGTTCGACCGTTACACGCTTCGAATTGTTGAAGAGTCCTCAATGTTCAAAGATGGTCATTGGGAAGTACCATTACCGTGGGGAACGGTAATGGTACAATGGTGCAATATATGAGGCGTTTTGCTAAGGATCTGACCTTGTTAGCGCGATACAGAGAACGCACGAACGACAACATCATTAAGGGTTACTTCGAACCTGTGCCCACTCATCAATCTAAATTAGGGACAAAAGGAAGTGGTATTTACCTCACCGCTTTGTTTTGAACCCAAAGAAACCAGAATAGCTGCGAGTTGTCTTAGATTGCGCGGTCAATTTTGAGGGTGTATCTCTGAACGATATATTGTATCAAGGTCCCGACAATACTGCTACTTGCTGGGAGTTCTCTTGCGCTTCCAGAGTGATTATGTAGCTGTGGCTGCGGACACTTCTGAAATGTTCATGCAAGTAAAGGTCCTCGAAGGCGACAGGGGTGCATTACGTATGTTACGGCGGGACTCAAAAGACTTGACCGGCGAGCCCAAGCAGTTCCGAATGATATCTCCTCCTTTTGGCGCCAAGTCCTCACCATTTTGCGCTAATTTCATCTTGAGAAAGGCAGTCTCAGACTGGGGATTGAATTGCATGACTGAAGTGAAACAATCAGTGGATAGATATTTTCACGCTGACGATTGTTTAGCATCACTTCCGGATGTGAGCATGGCTCAAACATTTGTGCGCGAGCTAAGTCGAGTTTTATCAAGGGGCGGTTTACACTTGAGAAGATGGATATGTAATGGAGAGTCTCTCTTGAGTGATGTATTCCATCGGACGTCTCGTCACCGGTGCTTTCCATTGAAGCCTTTCAGACAGTCGAATGGACGTTGGTTTTACAATAGGATGCTAAAGCGGATGAATTTCGCTTCACCTTTGTTTTTCCCGATCGACCGCTAACTCGACGAGGAATACTGTTTTCGATCTCTTCCCTGTTTGATACCTTGGGGTTTAGTAGCCCTTTGCCTTTGCCAGCTAACATACTGTTACAAAAGCTGTGTAAGAAGCAACTACATTGGGATGATAAACTGAGTGACTCAGAGGAGTGGCGGAGATGGTTGGAAAGTATGAAACCATTAGGCGAACTAGAGATACCCCGTTGCGTAAAACCTGCTCACATTTATGATGCAAATGTAGACTTGCATATATTCAGTGACGCCTGTGAAATGGGGTGTGGTATGGTTGGGTACTGTCGCTGGTGCGTCGAACAGGAGAAATTCACATGCATGTTGATATAATCCAAGTCTAGAGTAGCACCTATGAAATCTGTAACAGTGGTGAGGCTTGGGTTGAATGCAGCATGACGGGTGGCGGAGGAACTGCGAAAAGAAGCAGGAGTTGCGTTCACAAGAGCAGCTTACTGGAAGGATTCAACCATAGTGTCTCGCTATATACGGAACACTGCCACTCGCTATAGTACCTTCGTGGCGAACAGAATCTCTGCGATTCATCAGTTGTCATCACTCGGTGATTGGCGTCACGTAATGAGTAAGGATAATCCGGCCGACTTAGCCCCCAGAGGAGTAAGTTCTCTCACTGCTCTTCGATATTGGTTCAAGGGGCCGGCCTTTCTGGTAGCGTCCGAGGCCCAGTGGCCAGGGTCCAGCCGGGCTGGCATCCTTTCAAGATAGTTGATTGTGACCATTTTGGACCACTGACAGTTAGGAGTGGAAGAAAGACTGAGAAAAGGTACGGCCGTTTGTTTACCTGCTCACAGATGAGGGCAGTGCACCTTGAAATGGCCTACGCATTGTCCTCTGACTCCTTCATCAAAACGTTGATGCGTTTTATAGCACAAAGGGGGGCAGAAAAAATTATCAGTGATAACGGTTCTAATTTCGTCGGGGCGGAGATGGAACTGAAACGAGCCATAGATCGACTTTAACATTCCCGCATGAGCGCTGAACTAATGCGGTATAACGTCGAGTGGCAGTTCAATCCACCGTTCAGCAGCCATAGAGGCGGAGTATGGGAACGTCCCATACGTTCCGTAGGACGGATACTAAAGTCGACAGTAAACGAGCAGAATGTGAACGACGAAGAACTAGTAACGTTTCTTACGGAAGCAGAGCTGGTAATGAATGGACGCCCAATTGTGCCCAATCAAACCAACCTATTTCGACAGCCGGCTTTGACACCGAATGACTTGCCCACTCTCAACAACAGGGTACACGGAGTTTTGCCGGAAACTATAACAGAGAGGTATACGAGAGGTTGGCAGCAGGTGAACTAATTGACTCAAGCATTTTGGAAACGCTGGGTGAAGGAGTACATGCCTCTGCTTCAAGAACGAACTAAGTGGCAGAAACCTCAAAGGAATTTCAGGAAAGGGGATGTAGTCCTGACGCAATCAGGTGCGTTCTCTGGGGAACAGGGGCCCGTAGGCGTGGTTGAGGAATGTGAAACGTCAGTTGACGTTTTATTTAGGACCGTAGTTGTACGCACACAAGAGGGTAGGCTAAGAAGGAATGTGCGTAAGATCGGTCTGCAAGAGGGGTTGCGAGTAGGGATGATGGAAGGAGATGGGAACCGCGCGCTCGACTCTCCGCAGGTGGGAGATGGGTTTTCGAACTCATCGCATAGAGAGAGACAGCTGGGAGTTGGCGCGTGAGCAATCTCCGTTGGGTGTACTGCTGTAAGTCCAATCGGAACTTAAGGTAAAATATTTGAGCCGGGAAAAACCATGGCTTGATGGAGGAAAATCCATTGGGGATTTGGGGTGCGGTGAAGCAGACAGCTTGCCAGCAATGTGCTCCTGGTTCCAACCCCATGTGTTAGCCAATCCCCATATTTATTCCTCTTGGCCGGATGAACTGAAACCTTCTTGTTTTACTGAACTATTTTTATAATTCTTACGGACTTTGGTCGGACACCGTGATTTTTGCGGTTGCTCGCCGTCGATATCTGTTTGGTTGTGGCGACATCGATTTTGGGGCGAAGTGATCTGCATCTATCATCAGGCTGGTAATTCTACCGCCTTATTTTGTAATCTTACGGTATCTGCAGAGGAGAATCCGTTGAGGTTTATTGAATATGTATGTTATTATATTTGCAATGGTACCTTGATTCCAGAATTTGGATTTCTTGGTCGTTTTCCTGGATTGGCACGCGTGACTCAAACTCAGAAAGCAGATAGCCGTAACAGATGTTCCCTCGTATGGTGACGAAACGTTTGCAAGTCAATTGCGAGGCTACGCGAACAGATCAAAGCCATCTGCTAAACAAACCATTGACCCCCGAGCTTTCAATAATTTGACACACTACCAAAATGATCAATTGTGTCTCCTGTTCTGGTGTTGGACTCCATTCGGTTGGGTTATTCTTCTGATAATGCATATTAAAAACAACTGGCTTTTCGTCTGTTAAAAGTACAATATACTTGGGATAGTCTGGAGATAATAATAATAATATTTGTTCCCAATTAGTGGGTAGCATACCGTCGGGTATGATCATAGTATTACAGTCAGAATAAAGGCATGACTGGTGGGGTTTGTGATTAATGGGAGTTTCCCGGAAAAGGGAAAGTGACGTAAACAGTAAACATTAATGAAGTA